GTAGCAATCTCGTACCCAGAGTCAATGGTCCCCTCGGTCAGCGGTGGTCGTTGCCAGGTTAAACTCTGGGGGAATGGAATAAAATTATTAATATCGAATTTTTTGATTGGCTGTTCGTGTAACAAGAATGGGAGCGGAAGTGACCGGAATACCAGATTTCTGGTATTCAAAATTCCATTCTCCCAGAGTTCCACCTGGCGACGACCGACCACTTACCGAGGAGACCGTGGACTCTGGGTACGAGATTGAATGAGTAGTTGATTGACATTCACTGTACATCCATACATATACATACATATAACTTTATTTCAACTCGGATTTTAGTTTAGCAAAAAAAAAAAAAAATGCTAGTATCTCCGAGTATTTACAATATTTACAATTATTATTAAGATAAATTAATTAAAATAAATAAGGTGAAAAAAATACATGTGGACGTACAGTGAACTTTTTTCCCACAAATATCTTATTGGTGTTTTTCCCTTGCAGGCCAATGATTTGCCGACGCGTGACAGCATTACAGATGCCGCTGTACTGTTGAACTTGGGAGACTCTGTTACCACTGACCACATATCTCCTGCAGGAAGCATTTCTCGCACCAGTCCCGCCGCTCGTTATCTGGCTGGAAGAGGGTAGGTTTGAAGACTTGTTTTGATTTTTCAATAGAGCGGTTTTCTAATGACTGTTGTAAAACCAAAACCAAAGTAATAACACCTAGCCAATCACAACACGCGAATAACAGAATGAACCAATCGGAGATCGGAGCGTGAAGCAAATACACGTGACCTGTGCCAAGCGCGGCGAAAACGCGTGCGACCAAGTCGCCACTGGTTTTAGTTTTGCATGTGATTGGTTGAGTAGATGGGCGGCACAAGTTTGTTTAACCAATCACAGAGCGTAGTACATACATACATACCAAAGCAATTCTGGATTACTTTCGACACTCAGTTGAAAACTACTATGTTGAGGTTGTTTTCGATTTGAAGCTTTGGCAGTCTTTATACCCAGGAGTGAAACTTCTTAGTATTGACACAAACATCTATTTGACCTTTTAAATATCACTGCATTGTCAAGTAGACGGGTGGCAAGAATAAAGAAAATTGTCTTGATGTACAACCAAATTCTCAAAAGCAAATGAATAGAAATTTTGTCAATCAATAAGGATAATTCATTTTTCAATCTTTGGTTTCAGGCTTGTACCTCGTGACTTCAATTCTTATGGTTCTCGCCGCGGAAATGATGCTGTAATGGCGCGTGGAACATTTGCTAACATCAGACTGGTGAACAAATTCATTGGAAAAGCTGCGCCTAAAACCATTCATGTTCCTTCTGGAGATACGGTATGACGATAAATCATTTATTTTGGTTTCACTGTATTGTTACCTGTCTTTCCTCGCTACTCTGCTTGGCGAATAGATATCGGGATGGGGCTGGGCTTTTCTCAGTCCCTCCTTCCATCCCTTCCTACACGTGGGCTCCCTGTGATTCTAAAGCCCAGGCTTTAGAACTGAAATTATTTTGCGCTCTCGGCTCTCATGTGCCCACGTCTCCTGTGCGCTCTTATTTGATTTGAACCTGCTCAAATTTTTCTTGATAGTTGTCGAGAGTTTTTTCGCGTTTGGCCCGGGTTGATGATAGGTTGATGATACTCTCGACAACTTCAACTCGTGGCAATTCGCGTTCTCGTTTGGCCCGGGGCTTAATCCTTTCACTCCCAAGAGTGTTAAGTTCAAAACTGAGTAAAAAATCTTGAATTTCATTTTGAAAAATTGTCAAAAACAAACAGCACCACTTGAAAGTACTGCTCAATAGTTTTCATTTGGATGGTCACACACTAGGGTTTCATCCACAGACTCAAAAGTTACAACCACATGTATTGACAAGAAGTATTGTTTTGCGCGTGCTTGTATGGGATCTCGAAAGAACCCGCGCCGACAGACAACACAGATCCATGTTTACAAATGAAACATTCTCTTTCTCTAACTTGCTTGTAAGTAAGTCAGAGGATATCTGTCGGCATTGCTTGCTCGGTATAGTTTATTTGATTGTTTGTTTTGTGCTTATTCTGCAGATGGATGTTTTTGATGCAGCTGAACGTTACCGCCAAGAGGGACGACAGCTCATTATCCTGGCCGGAAAGGATTATGGGTCAGGATCGTCACGTGACTGGGCGGCAAAGGGACCTTGGATGCAGGTACTTGAAATACGTAGATTTGTGGATCGATGTAAAAGCAAACAGGCACAAGAGCTCGTCTGTTAATGAAATTCACTTCGAACTTCTTTTAAACTGCGAGCTTGGTGGCGCAAAAACTGAAGTAGAGGTTCCAGTTCTAGCGGAAATGTTTTCTCTTGTGCAGTATCCCAGAGGATATACGGGGATTGTCTCGCAGTCTAAAATACTTTTTACTGTCGCTATTCCCTAATTTTTCGTCTGTCTTTGTTCTGTTCAGGGCGTCAAGGCGGTGATATCGGAGAGTTTTGAGCGAATTCACCGAAGCAATTTGGTAGGAATGGGTATCATGCCCCTTGAATATCTTCCCGGTGAGACCTCGGAGAGCCTGGAACTCACCGGAAAAGAAAACTACACCATTGAAGTACCGGAAGACCTGAAAACTGGCCAAACACTGGATGTGAAGGTAGGAAGCTAAGCTCTCCTGACTAGCAGTAACCTGTTCTTATAAACAGTGGAAAACGTATATGCTTTCTCGCATTGTGTTGGAAATACGTAGGTTCTTATTTTTAAGCAATAGAGATCAAAACAAAAGGTCCTTATAAAAGAAAAATCTTCCAGCTTTTAAGGTTTAACTATTCTGCACTCGAATACAAAAGAGAAGGAGACAAAAAGGCGTGTTGTAGTTCGTTGTTTGAAAACAAAAAATGGCGAGTCAAGTGATGTTACAAAATTAACTTCAAATCGAAGCAAAACTTAACAAAAGAAGCCATAAGGGAATAAGGATGGTTAAGATTGGGCAGATTGAGACGGATTACGAACGACGATCTTGAAAAAGTAAATTTTAAATTTAATTTTTTATTTCTATTTTTAAATTTTAGTTTAATTTTTTTTTTGTAAAATTTAAATTTTTCAAGATGCGCGAACCGTGACGAAGCTCTAACATAATGCAATGTACGGCGCGATTGATTGATTGACTGACTGATTCAAGATTGATTGATTGATTGACGTCTGACTGATTGATTGTTTGATTTTAGTTGAATGATGGCCGCACCTTCAAAGCGAAAGTTCGTTTTGACACAGACGTGGAATTGATGTACTTCAAACATGGAGGCATCCTGAACTACATGATAAGGAGCATGCTCAGTAAAGAAGACTGCTGAGACAACAGACATCCATGAAAACCACAGACAACTTGCTTGAAAGAAAAAAACGCGCTCAAACGCGAAACGAACGCAGTTAGACCTTCTGTATCAGTATGGGGTCCAAATTATTATAAATGTGGGAGAGGTGGGATAGGAGAACATAGGGAGCGCGCGAAACAGACTAACATAATAAAATACCATTGGGTCGAAATGCCCTTTCCTAACGAACGCTTAGCACAATAATTTTTCTTCATATTTTTTGTTCAGCTGCAGTATATGTACATACAATGTGAATTCAACCTGACTGTTTAAGAAAAATATCAGGAAAACAACAATTTTTGGCGAAAGAACAAATCATATTTTTAATTCTGCGAGTGGCTGACTATTTGAGAAGAATATCAGAAAAAAAAGAATAAAAAAAATATTCGGATAGAGTAACTGCGAGGCTAGAAGGAAACGAGAAACCTATTTAACACGAATATGGAGAAAGTGCACATCTGGAAATAAAAAAGCACCATAACTTAAGAGTATTGTATTTGTTTCGTTCAACCTGTATATAGAGATGTCTGTTTCGAATTTCTGTAATACGGAGCAACTCTCCCTGGGGTGGGATGCTAGCCATCCCAGCCCCCCCCCCCCCCCCCCCAGCATTTTGCAGGTTTGCTCTGGGCCAAACTAAAATTCTCAAGTAGACGAAAAAAAGCCGCTTCAGTGCTACAGTCTTCTCTGACCCTTCTCCCCCGCGCGCTGCCATTTAGACTTTCTCAAAGTCCTTCGCTTCTTTTTTTACGGTCTGGAAGTGAATGCGCTCGATTTCTCGCGGTTCGCGCTTGTATGAACTTGCTGACACCTGTGCACCTTGTATATTGGAGTCCCCCTCCCCTCCCCGACCATTTAACAGTCAACACAACACGTTATATCCTTGCCCGATTCTCAGATGGTCGGTCGCTCTCACTTCCTGAATACCTGTATTGCGAAAGCCTCTCGAGGGGTGAGGCCATTTCGGCGCGAACATACAATGAAAATAGTATTGGATGACCCTAGTACTCCTAAACCTACATTCCCATCACGTTATGAATAGTATGCTTTCTTTCATTTTTTGAACCTATTCTGGTTTGAATATTTCAATGTAAATAACAACAAAATGACCCGCAACAAACAACCTTGCACTTGGAACATTGAATTACGGTTTTATTGAGTTTGGATGCATCTGTACAATTGTTTTGTTAACCCTTTCACTCCCAGAGTCAAACCTTGAGTCAATAAATGTGGTTGTAACGTTTCTGCTTGTGGTTGAAACCTAGTGTGTGACCATTCAAATGAAAGCTATTGAGCAGTACTTTAATGTGGTACTGTTTGTTTTTGACAATATTGCAACATTAAAATCAATATTTTTTCCTCAGTTTTGAACTTAGCACTGTTGGGAGTGAAAGGGTTAAGCGAGTACAAGCTAGTGGATTATGAATGATAACGTACACAAAAACTACCTGTAAACCAAAACTTAGGGAACGCTATATATTCTGCACTGATGCAGCATGTTAAGACACTGTTACACCAGCAACGTTTCGTACAACTTGTCTCGCAATTTTCGTGTTGCAGGACAAATTGCCTAGTGTAACAACGCCTTTAATCAACACTGTTTATTTATTATCGTCAGTGACACAAGCTACTCGGAAAAAAAATCCGAGTTCTCCCAACAGGAGTTGATCCTATGACCTTACGAACACCGGTCGGACGCTCTGCCACTGAGCTACAGGAGACTTGTGGGAGCTGAAAACTACTTTCCATCACCATAATACCCCGTGTATGAGTGTTGTAACATTTCTTCTAGACTGCGAGAAGTGTATCTTTACTCAAAAATCCAGCGAATAGTGCCTCCATTCGCTGAACGATGTTTTTCTTGCATTAACTGCTCTAAAAGAATATATACAGCAGGATACTTTTGTCCTAAGCGACTATAACTTGCGAGGTAGCCTGATTACGCGGACTTCACGACTTTCCACTGCATGGTACTCGCATCCCGACCGCCTACGGAGATGAGTCGGGTATCATCGGAAAGAAATCGTACATTCATGACATGCGCACTGTGGCCTTGGAGAATTCTGGGCTCAGCCTGAAATCAAGTAAACAAACAAATCAAAATCACAAACTTCAGTAAGTGCCTACATTCAGTGCTGTGACCATAGTGATACGCCTTCAATGGTTCTTTTACGTCCCAAAATTGGAGACAATCCGGCACCGGGCCATGCCCACAGAGGCTAGCGCAAAGACGGCACCCGGGGGGGGGGGGGGGGGGGGGGTACTCCCTATAATGGACTATACGGGGAGGCTCCGCCCGAAAGTGGTCCTTTTTTAGGCTCGAGGTATATGAAAGGGTAGGGATTTCACGAGTTGAAGTATATGAAAGGGTAGGGATTTCACGAGTAAATGATATTATTGTTTGGTTAACATCTGGTAATGCTTGATGATTTCTGGTGATATATATTATGTTCATTAAGTTCATTACAAGGGTATAGAAACGATGCAGTGCTTCTACTGTAGGTATGTAAAAGGGTACCATTTTCTATGGAAGGTATATGAAAGGGGTACCTTTTCTGTGAAAATGGTATATGAAAGGGTAAGGGGTTGGACCTCTGGGCGGGGGCTCCCGTATAAATCCTTTTTGAGTACCCCCGGGGACGGCACTTGCTTATCAGCTAGTTTGAGACCCTGAGGGCCGAATATTTAAATGAAGTCTAAGTTAGGCCGTAGTTTACGAGAATCTAATGGGTCTAAATCTACTTACAAGCAGGTCAGTCTTAGTAGCTAATTCTTTTTTTAGTCTGTGTTATACACCTTCTAAACAGGGTTTACTGTAAATGACGTTAACACATTGAGGTTGGCCAGTTTGAACTCGCATTAGGTCACGGTTTTGTTAAATATTCGGCCCTGAATGTTCGCCAGGAATGGACTCAAACCTAGACCTCTCCTCTATATACTAGCACTCTCCGAAACTGAACGAAGATGACATCTTGACCAGCAAAATAGCAAAATTAAGTTACACTGGCAAGGCTCGTATTCTTTTTCAGCAACAGTTTTCGAGAACTTTTTCAGGACTCCTGTAGCTTTTCCAGACTCCAAATGCACAAGCTTAGCTATTAGTTCTGCCACACAACTTATTCGCATTTTGCCAGAATTTCCTCCCCCGATTTAGTTTAATTTGTAACCGCTCTTTTTTCGTGTCACTGAATTTCCCCTGAATTTACAGATTTCTAGGACTCTCCAGGACCTGCCAAAAAAATCACTTTCCAAGAAAATGACAGGACAAAATTTCAGTTCTTTCCAGGGTTTCAAGTCAGAACTAAACGCAGATGATCTCCAGATGATCTCTGGATGATCTCGTACCTTGTCGCTGATACAGGGATATCTGTACAGATTGACGTTGCCAAAGTCATCTCCCGTGGCCAGTAACTGTTTTCCATTGGAGCGGTCAACAGAGTTCACATCTGTTCCGTCTGCCCCGTCCGGCCAGATTCCTGTAAGAATAAATAGACAGTGAGGGATCAATAATACTACAATGGACACAACGGTCAATTCTTAGAGACAGAGCCCCGGATAAATTACTATTCAGTGGATTAGTGTTAACAAAACCAACGGCACTATCCACTGGATAGTGATTTATAGTGTTATCTATCTTTTGAACAAACGGGGCCTGGATTCCCAGCGAACGAAACCGGCGAGGATAATTGTTCAACGCCGACTCATCGATTATGGATCATCGATTTACATCACTTGGCTAGTATCAATTTAATAATGATAGTGGATACTTACCAATGACGGTGTAACCCAACACACAGTTCTGTGTGTCCCACTCTGTGTTGCGCATGCTCTCTGTCTGTGTTATCTGTTCTCCCTGCAGGGGGTCCCCTGTCAATAAAAAAGAGCATTTAGCTGCATTTAAACAAGAAGCTCGGTATAAAAGGGATGGCACCGGCTCAAATAACTTTCCATTCAGGATTTGCATTCTTAGAGGCCTTAGAGGTTTGTTTTCTCAACCCCCTTGAAGAGGAAGAGGCTGCGACGAAGAGGACTACTGTAAACCTGTTGTAGAGTACCCCTGTAGCCCGCGTAGCAGGCAATGGAGGGGCGCAGGGAAGGGAAGGGAGGGAGCACTCGAGGGAGAACCCACGCTCTATATTACCCCAGCGCCTGCTACGCGCAGGCTAAGTACCCTGACATGAAGCCAGTGGAATTCGAAATATTGTTGAAGTAGCTAACTTTACTTTACTTTAATTGCAACTCTTACAGAATAGTAATTCGTAATCTCTAGATGTGCTTTGAAGTTTTTCTCCATCTTTGGACCAGTCTAAGTGACTCACGGAACTAGTGTGACCCTGAAAAAAAAATTAAAACAAGTGTGCTTAGAAAATTCAGAAACAAACTCTAACAACTGAACGACGTGCAGTACCCGGCATTGTCACTCGGAAAAGTTTTGGATTAATTTTTGACATCTCGTTGAGCAACTGATTTTTCGTTTCGTTTCGTTTCCAAATTTGCTACAAGGTGTGAGAAAATACTCAGGTCAAAACACGGTACGTGGAACGTGTTTTTCGAAAATAAGGGATTTTAAACATTTGTGCGATAAGATGTAATACAGTCGAAGCTCTCGTATAAGCGACCACCTCGGGAATTCGAAAAAGTGGTCGTAACTAGAGCTGGTCGCTTACGAGAACGGGCTCTCTTAAGCGACCACGCGCTGAAACAATAGAGGCTGGTCGCTTATGAGAGCTTTTAATTACAGAGTTTGAGTGACAATTCAAACAGGGTTTCACAATGGCGGTCGTAACTAGAGCAGGTCGCTTCGAGAGTCGTCGCGGCAACAAGAGCTTCGACTGTAGTAAACTAACGCAGACATACATTACTTTGTTACCTTGCAACGAGCCTTAAGTGACACAGACGTTCCTCCATTTTGCAGTTCATAAATGTATACATCATTGTCGTGACAGCCAAGAGCGACGTGACTTCCATCTAAAAACAAAGCGGCATGTACACAAAAAAATAAGACTTACACCCCGTTTACACCAAAACTTTAATTAAACATAGTAAGATTAAAAGTTAGTTTGTGCATGATTTATCATGAAACTTACAGTAAAAGTTTCAAGTCACTAAATCTCCGTATAATATTGTAACCAAAAGAGGTTATGATCATCTTCTTTCGACCCTGTGTAAAGTGCAGTGGTGAAAAACAGTGAGAACGTGTCTGACTGAAAACGTTTTTTCGACCCACCCGTCGGTGGGTCCCTCCCCTGGATCTGCCACTGAAGTTCAGGCTTTACATTTTCTGTCACTGATCATCAATTTAGCAGAAGCCCATGATTTAGCTAACACGTTTAGTTGATGTGAACAAGATTGATCAAAATATCAGGGGCACCCAACGGATCGTTTCGGTGGAATATCTGTTCGGAGGGCCTATAATCGCCTCAGATATTCGGTTAGGGAAATGTCATCTAAAACTTTCGTAATAAGGGAAAATTAATGCCTTTGATTTCGGAGAGATAAAAATGTCGTTTTGGGTACAAAAAAATGTCAGCTAGGATTTTCGGAAAGGTAAATTCAGCTCGTAAATTCGGGTAATAAGAGTTCAATCCCTAAAATGTTCTGATGTTTGAAAGTTCAGCTAACGTATCCGAAAAGAAACATTTTTCTTAGCGATTAAAAATAAGCCATTAAACTGCACAAAAAGCACAATTATAACGTAAAAACAACGTTCCGACACCTACAAGAAAAGTTTGTCGTTGGGTGCCCCTGAAATATATCTTCACGTTAACATAACGTGTCACCAAATTCGTAAGAAATTCTTCAAACTTTTAAGACAATTTGTTACTTTTACCTCAAAATCAATACATAAAAACTAAACTGTTTTTACCTGGTGAGAATTGGATTTCTGATATTTTCTCTGGAGGTTCAGATTTTCGTACAAGAATGACATCTCCAGTCGATGAATTTAACAGCATCCACCTAAAAATGAAGCAACAATAGACAATTAACAAGGGAGTGAGCCTCGCTTATTTGGACGACATGTTGTACAAATGGCCATCAGGCCCTACGGCTTCTATGCCCCGGACTCAGACAAGGTTACAGTAGCTACAATCGGTGTCAAAAGTCGTTGGAACACATTTCCCCTTTCCCCTGTTGGATAGGGCAATGATCAAGCGCACACTCTTTGTTCAATGTATTTGGAGTTAAAAAGCAACATTGCCGGAAAGGAGGGAAAGGGAGGGAGACGAGATTAAATCAACAGTGTACCAATAAAGTGTCATAGATTGTAGCTATTGACGTACTTACCCTCCTTTTTTGAAGCCTATAGCTACACAGCCCCCGTCAGGATGAAAAGCTGCCGCCTGAATCACTGAAGCCTGGGAAAGGACGTTTTAAAATTTCAATCAAGAGTTCACACTGTAAGTTATCGACACATTATAAAGTGAGCAAACGCGCTTTGCTCACTTTAAACATAGTTTTCCACTTGACCCTTCAATTGGATTATGTTTACGTAATGTAACAAACTCTGGTGATTGGCAATGGTAATAGTACTTTGTGTTGTACAATTCAGGGGTAACCGCGCTCGCAATTTTCAAATCGGCCGAGCGCGAATTAATCGTATCTGCAAACAGGAACCATTTATTTCTAAATATTAATAATCAAGGCTAAATTAACATTGATTCTAAGAGTTACTTCAACTCTTGTTATTGAAATATTCTGAAAGAAATCGTGTCGAAATTTG